ATGTATGTATATGGACGACCCGAGTTCAAATCTGAACTCAGATACATGACACTTACTAGCTGTGTGACTCTGGGCAAGTCACTTAACCCCGATTGCCTCCTCCCCCAACAAAAAATAACAATTTGGCAGATACATAGAGGATGGATTGGAAAGGGAAGAAGGGTTGAATCAGGGAGACCAGTTAGGTGAGAGGTGAAGACAAGCTGAAAAAGGGTGGGAATGTATATGCCATCATACAACATATTGTCCCCTCAATCATCTTCTCTTTAATTTTCAGTCTTTACCTACTGGTTTCTTCCTTGCTGCCAACAAACATGCCCAAATGTCCTCCATGTTTTAAGAAACTTTCATTAGCTCCCACCATCCCTTCAAACTATGATCCTTTATCTTTTTTTCAGCCAATGCTTGCCTCAATTTCCTTTCCTGTCTTTTTCAACCCTCCAGAGTCTGGTTTCTGACCTCATCACTCAACAGAAATTGTTCTTTCCCCCTTCCCAACTGCTAGTACCTTTCCTTGATAAAACTGCCTCGTACCTTGTATTTATTCTTTTTTGTTCTTGTTTTTCCAGTGGTGTCCTACTCTTTGTGACCCCCTTTGTGGTTTTCTTGGCAGACACTGGAGTGGTTTGCTATTTCCTTCTTCAGCTCATTTTACAGATGAGGAAACTGAGCAAACAGGGTGAAGTGACTTGCCCAGGGTCACACAGTTAAGTGTCAGAAGAGAGATTTGAATTTAGGTCTTCCCGACTCCAGGCCTCGTGTTCTGGCCACCGTACTTGCGCTAGCTAGATTTAATACATACACATTTTCTCCTGATAGAATCTGTAAACTCCTTATAGGGAGGGACAGTTTCACTTGGGCTTTTGCACCCTGGTGCTAAGCACACACTGATTGATGGACTGATTACAGAGAATTCAGGGCTCTTTCCAGTGGAGGACCTCAATTTGAGGCTTGTAAGAAGAGTGGGGTGTAAAAGGTGTTGGGAATGGGACAAATGAGGAGCCCTGCCAACTCTCTATGCTGTAACATGAGGGCTTAGTTAATTTTTGGTAGGACCATACTGCCACCCAATGGATTCTTCCATTCTTTACAGTCTTCGGCTGCTAACTAATGGCCATGCCAGATTCTTTTTTCCTATTTTCCTTCATCCCTTCATGATTGGGTAAATGGTATTTTTCCCCTTTTCCCTAAGTAACTCCACGTTTCTTCTCCCTCTCCTCCCTGAATCCATCCCCCACCTCCCAAGTACCTACCCTCTTCAAAATCTACATAACTCCTGCTCATATTTTTGGACCCGCCCTTGTGTTTTAGGCCCTTGAGATAGGCCCAGTGTATCTCACAACACCAACTTACACCAGAATTCCTTGGACAGTACTTTAGGAAATTTCAGACTCTTCTAAGTTCTATTAAGAGGAAAATCATAACCATTTTCATCTAGCCAAACCTTAACAGTTCACAACCTAATGTTAGTGTGTAATCCTGACCAATGTTTTTAGCAGGATTCCTTATTAAATAAGAGTTGGTGAATAGGAGTTCATAATAGGATCTGTCAGGTAAAAAACACTGGCCTGTTGTCCCAGAGAAAGGCAGACTACATTTTTTAAATGTTAAGCTACTTTAGATGGCTTCAAGTTACTGCAATACAACACACACACACACACACACACACACACACACACACACACACACACACACACACACACACATCTTTCTTCAAGGCTCAATCCTGTATCACCACCTATAGTTTAAACAATGGGGGGGGTAGAGTTCTGTCCTTTACTGAATTTTTTATCACATACCTCAATACCTAGTATAGCCTGGCCTAGCTTGAATTTTGCAGACGTTTTCCTTTTAATTTTACTTTGCAGGCATTAAGGGCCCACTTAGCTCCTAGCCGTGACAAATCAATTCCTTCTATCCTAGGCCCTCATTTTTTGTGTGTGGTAATAGTCACAAAATGCTATTGTGAGAGGATTACACCTATAAAAGAGGCAGCCAAAATTACAAGGATCTCCACAATTCAATGAAAACAGCACTAGATACAGGGTCTTCACGTACCACAGAACTGCAGGTAACTCACATGAACGTCCCGCAAGTCATGACCCAGAGCTGAGAACTTTATTTCAATCACATGCCACCATGGCTTTAAATATGGGTTTTGAATTGAGGGCACTCATTGGAGACAACTGAACATGTGAAGTGAAACCTAAGATGCTACTGACTCATGGACTTGACCTCCGCAGAGGCCACTCACTGGCATCATTTAATGCTCTACAGCGGGCCCAATTAGACTGAAGTGCCTAGTGCTGTACATCAAGGTGCTCAATAACTCTTTTTTAGTTCAACTACTTCCAATTGTTATTGTGAAAATCACTAATGCAATGCTCTCTTACTTCAAGTTCTAGAACTCAAATTAAACCTGGACACAAAATTTTAAGTATGAAACCTAAGCCAGATGAGGTCTAATGGAAAGAATACCTAAGGTAGCCTGAAGAGAAGTGAAAGGTGACAGAATGGAAAGGGCCTTAACAGGGAGTCAGAGGACTTGGCTCCACATCCCAGCTCTAAGTGGCCTTAGGAAAGCCACAGCTTCTTTGGGCTTCAATTCTGTCATCTGGAAAACCAAAGTGTTGGACTAGGTCACCTTTAAAAGAGCTTTAAGATTTTTGTCACAGGACAGCTAGGTGGCGCACTAGACACAGCACCAGACCTGGCGTCAAGGAGGACCTGGCTTCCATTCAGACCTCACTTACTAGCTAGTTGTGTGACCCTGGGCAGGCCACTTAACCCCCACTGCCTCCAAAATTCAAAAAAAAAAAAGTCACCCCTTGATTCAAGATTTTGTCACCAAGCCCAATTTACAATAGTTCTAATCATCTCTCCAGTGTTATTACAAATTAGTCCAAAAAATCTAAAATAATTGCCCTCAGTGTCTGTATTCAGCTCAACGCCACTTCTCTGGGTTAAGATTTCCACGGTACAAGGAACTCTCCGACAGAACACATTTCTTCCCACATTGGACAGCACCTTTCTCTGAATCTCAGAGCCATTCAACCACTGTCCAGCCATGACTTGAGTCTTCTGGCCCCAAGGCCAGCTCTCTACACTACCACACTACCTTTCAACAGGTAGAGAAGTATTCAAGACAAAAACAGGTCAGTTTTTGAGCTGCTTAGCGACTCCCAATTACCTCAAGTTTAAAGTGAGGAAACTGAGACCCAAGAGAAAGGGAGTCATCTAAGCCAAAGCAGCAAAGCCAAGATCTGAACACAGGTTTGGACTCCAAAACGGATGTCCTTTTGCACTGCACCAGGAGCTGACAAGAAACCTTTGTAGTAAGACCATAAAGGAATGGAAATCACCCACCTAAGAAATCGACTACTTAAAAATACTAGTAGAAAGATTAAAAAAAAAAGCTTAATACCAAAGTCTAATTGAAGGATTACAGAATACTGCAGGCACAGATTTAAAACTAGACTAGATCTGTGATGGCACAACCCCCCCCCCACTTCAAACCTTTTCACCCATGCCCCCACTTTATTTCAAAACAAACTAGTCCCAGAGAAAGCAAGCTTCAATAAGACAAAGTCATTTAACCATGTTTCCACATCACAGGAAAACAGGGAAATAAGAAATACCTATTCTCATTTTCCTCTGAGGGACATACAACCTCCCCAAACCCAGGCCCAAATGAGGGCATGCCTTCCACAGGTGTAGCAAGTTCAGAACACTCACTATCTTGGACACAGGGAAAATGCACCATTCATGAAATCTGAATTTGGTGCCTTTTTGGTGTAAGTATAAAAACTTAGAAACTTGCTACAAAGGTATATCCTAACTCTGAGTGGGACTTCCCTCCCCAAACACGCCCCAAACCAGCGATGTCTGCTAATAACCTATTCCATTACGCCAACTAGTTAGTAGTTTCACAGTAATTTCAAGCCTAACAAAACATCACGACACAGTCTGGCTGATCGCTACACCAGAGCCCTTCACACTTTGCCAAGGCTAAACAGACACCACTACTGAAAGATCAGGACACGTCTTGGAATCTGTGCTAACAATCTGACATTGCCCAAATACTCTCCAATGCTAGATGACCCTGTCCTTCCAACCCCCAAAGGTTTCAAGTACCCTATCACTATTTAGAAAACTACCTAGATGCAACTAGACATCCAAACACAATCTACGTGGTAGCACACTGCAGAGAACATGTTCTGGAGTCAGAGGACCCTTCAATGCCCAGACCTCCTTTTAGTATTTCTACGACCTTGGGCCAACTTACTAGATTGGACTAGAGTCTTTGTTCACTTTCAGCTCTGAATTGAAAGCAGTCCTGCTAGCAACCTTTGGGATGATAAAAATAATTTTAAACAGTGACTCAAAGGCAGGGGACCTCCAAGATCTCAGACTGGGATTCAAGTCAGTCCAGTATGTACTGGATAACTTGAGTGACTTAAATGGCCATCTGCAGTGGCAGATAACAGTTAACACCCAATGTCTGAAGGCCTGAGACTTAAGTAGTGAGCCCTCACACAGCAAATTCATGCTATACAGGACCTTTCTAAGGGTTATTTTTTGTAAAGAATGTTAGGAAAAGATCAAAGACTTTGTATTTGGCAGCTGGAGTCCAGAAAAGCTTGGGGGTTCCAACCTAGTCTCTGACCAATTCAGCTTCCTCATTTTTGATAGAAATAATCACACCTCACTGCCAAGGTTGCTGAAGATCAAATGAGTGATTGTGAATCTTAGAAGTGCTATATAAATTAAGTCTATTATTGTTACTGTGCTAAAGATATCAGGTAACTTTATAGGAATTTTAAACCTCAATACACACATGTAAACTCCTTCTGTGATTTAAGATATTTCAAGTTTAGCTTTCGTAAATTGCTGGCTGACAAATCCCAACTCAAACCCAAAAGTAAACATACTCCACTTTGACAGAGGATAACCCACTTGAATTCGGGGAAGAAAAAAAAAAACAGGATGAACAAAACACGTCAAATTCAATGTGCAACAAAAACCTTTATTAGCACTTGGCTCAGCTGTTACTGAACCTGGTAATCTCAAAACTCAACATTAAGACTTTAAAGAGCTAACAGGTTCAAAACAGTGCTAGCATTGGCAATTTGTGCTTTCATAAAATCAACAATTAACAGCCACCCCTCAGGCGCAGGACCAGGTGCAGGGTGGACTCCTTCTGGATGTTGTAGTCAGACAGAGTTCTGCCATCTTCCAGCTGCTTGCCTGCAAAGATGAGCCTCTGCTGGTCAGGGGGGATGCCCTCCTTGTCCTGGATCTTGGCCTTGACATTCTCGATAGTGTCACTGGGCTCCACCTCCAAGGTGATGGTCTTGCCCGTCAGGGTCTTCACAAAGATCTGCATGCCACCCCTCAGGCGCAGGACCAGGTGCAGGGTGGACTCCTTCTGGATGTTGTAGTCAGACAGGGTTCTGCCATCTTCCAGCTGCTTGCCTGCAAAGATGAGCCTCTGCTGGTCAGGGGGATGCCCTCCTTGTCCTGGATCTTGGCCTTGACATTCTCGATAGTGTCACTGGCTCCACCTCCAAGGTGATGGTCTTGCCTGTCAGGGTCTTCACAAAGATCTGCATGCCACCCCTCAGGCGCAGGACCAGGTGCAGGGTGGACTCCTTCTGGATGTTGTAGTCAGACAGGGTTCTGCCATCTTCCAGCTGCTTGCCTGCAAAGATGAGCCTCTGCTGGTCAGGGGGGATGCCCTCCTTGTCCTGGATCTTGGCCTTGACATTCTCGATAGTGTCACTGGGCTCCACCTCCAAGGTGATGGTCTTGCCCGTCAGGGTCTTCACAAAGATCTGCATGCCACCCCTCAGGCGTAGGACCAGGTGCAGGGTGGACTCCTTCTGGATGTTGTAGTCAGACAGGGTTCTGCCATCTTCCAGCTGCTTGCCTGCAAAGATGAGCCTCTGCTGGTCAGGGGGGATGCCCTCCTTGTCCTGGATCTTGGCCTTGACATTCTCGATAGTGTCACTGGGCTCCACCTCCAAGGTGATGGTCTTGCCTGTCAGGGTCTTCACAAAGATCTGCATGCCACCCCTCAGGCGCAGGACCAGGTGCAGGGTGGACTCCTTCTGGATGTTGTAGTCAGACAGGGTTCTGCCATCTTCCAGCTGCTTGCCTGCAAAGATGAGCCTCTGCTGGTCAGGGGGATGCCCTCCTTGTCCTGGATCTTGGCCTTGACATTCTCGATAGTGTCACTGGGCTCCACCTCCAAGGTGATGGTCTTGCCCGTCAGGGTCTTCACAAAGATCTGCATGCCACCCTCAGGCGCAGGACCAGGTGCAGGGTGGACTCCTTCTGGATGTTGTAGTCAGACAGGGTTCTGCCATCTTCCAGCTGCTTGCCTGCAAAGATGAGCCTCTGCTGGTCAGGGGGATGCCCTCTTTGTCCTGGATCTTGGCCTTGACATTCTCGATAGTGTCACTGGGCTCCACCTCCAAGGTGATGGTCTTGCCCGTCAGGGTCTTCACAAAGATCTGCATGCCACCCCTCAGGCGCAGGACCAGGTGCAGGGTGGACTCCTTCTGGATGTTGTAGTCAGACAGGGTTCTGCCATCTTCCAGCTGCTTGCCTGCAAAGATGAGCCTCTGCTGGTCAGGGGGGATGCCCTCCTTGTCCTGGATCTTGGCCTTGACATTCTCGATAGTGTCACTGGGCTCCACCTCCAAGGTGATGGTCTTGCCCGTCAGGGTCTTCACAAAGATCTGCATGCCACCCCTCAGGCGCAGGACCAGGTGCAGGGTGGACTCCTTCTGGATGTTGTAGTCAGACAGGGTTCTGCCATCTTCCAGCTGCTTGCCTGCAAAGATGAGCCTCTGCTGGTCAGGGGGGATGCCCTCCTTGTCCTGGATCTTGGCCTTGACATTCTCGATAGTGTCACTGGGCTCCACCTCCAAGGTGATGGTCTTGCCCGTCAGGGTCTTCACAAAGATCTGCATGCCACCCCTCAGGCGCAGGACCAGGTGCAGGGTGGACTCCTTCTGGATGTTGTAGTCAGACAGGGTTCTGCCATCTCCAGCTGCTTGCCTGCAAAGATGAGCCTCTGCTGGTCAGGGGGGATGCCCTCCTTGTCCTGGATCTTGGCCTTGACATTCTCGATAGTGTCACTGGGCTCCACCTCCAAGGTGATGGTCTTGCCCGTCAGGGTCTTCACAAAGATCTGCATGCCACCCCTCAGGCGCAGGACCAGGTGCAGGGTGGACTCCTTCTGGATGTTGTAGTCAGACAGGGTTCTGCCATCTTCCAGCTGCTTGCCTGCAAAGATGAGCCTCTGCTGGTCAGGGGGGATGCCCTCCTTGTCCTGGATCTTGGCCTTGACATTCTCGATAGTGTCACTGGGCTCCACCTCCAAGGTGATGGTCTTGCCCGTCAGGTCTTCACAAAGATCTGCATGCCACCCCTCAGGCGCAGGACCCAGGTGCAGGGTGGACTCCTTCTGGATGTTGTAGTCAGACAGGGTTCTGCCATCTTCCAGCTGCTTGCCTGCAAAGATGAGCCTCTGCTGGTCAGGGGGGATGCCCTCCTTGTCCTGGATCTTGGCCTTGACATTCTCGATAGTGTCACTGGGCTCCACCTCCAAGGTGATGGTCTTGCCCGTCAGGGTCTTCACAAAGATCTGCATGCCACCCCTCAGGCGCAGGACCAGGTGCAGGGTGGACTCCTTCTGGATGTTGTAGTCAGACAGGGTTCTGCCATCTTCCAGCTGCTTGCCTGCAAAGATGAGCCTCTGCTGGTCAGGGGGGATGCCCTCCTTGTCCTGGATCTTGGCCTTGACATTCTCGATAGTGTCACTGGGCTCCACCTCCAAGGTGATGGTCTTGCCCGTCAGGGTCTTCACAAAGATCTGCATGCCACCCCTCAGGCGCAGGACCAGGTGCAGGGTGGACTCCTTCTGGATGTTGTAGTCAGACAGGGTTCTGCCATCTTCCAGCTGCTTGCCTGCAAAGATGAGCCTCTGCTGGTCAGGGGGGATGCCCTCCTTGTCCTGGATCTTGGCCTTGACATTCTCGATAGTGTCACTGGGCTCCACCTCCAAGGTGATGGTCTTGCCGTCAGGGTCTTCACAAAGATCTGCATGCCACCCCTCAGGCGCAGGACCAGGTGCAGGGTGGACTCCTTCTGGATGTTGTAGTCAGACAGGGTTCTGCCATCTTCCAGCTGCTTGCCTGCAAAGATGAGCCTCTGCTGGTCAGGGGGATGCCCTCCTTGTCCTGGATCTTGGCCTTGACATTCTCGATAGTGTCACTGGGCTCCACCTCCAAGGTGATGGTCTTGCCCGTCAGGGTCTTCACAAAGATCTGCATGCCACCCCTCAGGCGCAGGACCAGGTGCAGGGTGGACTCCTTCTGGATGTTGTAGTCAGACAGGGTTCTGCCATCTTCCAGCTGCTTGCCTGCAAAGATGAGCCTCTGCTGGTCAGGGGGGATGCCCTCTTTGTCCTGGATCTTGGCCTTGACATTCTCGATAGTGTCACTGGGCTCCACCTCCAAGGTGATGGTCTTGCCCGTCAGGGTCTTCACAAAGATCTGCATGCCACCCCTCAGGCGCAGGACCAGGTGCAGGGTGGACTCCTTCTGGATGTTGTAGTCAGACAGGGTTCTGCCATCTTCCAGCTGCTTGCCTGCAAAGATGAGCCTCTGCTGGTCAGGGGGGATGCCCTCCTTGTCCTGGATCTTGGCCTTGACATTCTCGATAGTGTCACTGGGCTCCACCTCCAAGGTGATGGTCTTGCCCGTCAGGGTCTTCACAAAGATCTGCATGCCACCCCTCAGGCGCAGGACCAGGTGCAGGGTGGACTCCTTCTGGATGTTGTAGTCAGACAGGGTTCTGCCATCTTCCAGCTGCTTGCCTGCAAAGATGAGCCTCTGCTGGTCAGGGGGATGCCCTCTTGTCCTGGATCTTGGCCTTGACATTCTCGATAGTGTCACTGGGCTCCACCTCCAAGGTGATGGTCTTGCCCGTCAGGGTCTTCACAAAGATCTGCATGCCACCCCTCAGGCGCAGGACCAGGTGCAGGGTGGACTCCTTCTGGATGTTGTAGTCAGACAGGGTTCTGCCATCTTCCAGCTGCTTGCCTGCAAAGATGAGCCTCTGCTGGTCAGGGGGGATGCCCTCCTTGTCCTGGATCTTGGCCTTGACATTCTCGATAGTGTCACTGGGCTCCACCTCCAAGGTGATGGTCTTGCCCGTCAGGGTCTTCACAAAGATCTGCATTGTGATCTGTAAATAAATAAAGCATCTTTAACAGCTATTCCTCAGCTTAATAGTTGGTCTTCCCAGATCAAATCCTGCCTTGATCTCATTTAGCACCAAGTTCCCCCAACCTAGTCACACTGCCTTTGGCTTTGGCTTTTATTTTCTCACACTCACATTCCTATCACTCAAATGAGATCAGAAATCAGATACAGGCAATAACTGAGACGTCAGGTCAACCTTTTTCCTCCCCCTCCCAAGCTGTCCTTAGCTGATCTTGGTAATCAAGGAAAGGAAAACAACCTAGCATCTATTTCTCTCTCAAACTTTTACCTATTCACTTTGTATTTGAAGTAACTTAAGTTTCTTATGTCTACAAACCATTATGGACTAGAATTAACGCAAAGCTCCCTAAACTGAGCATGGTGACAAAAGTTGGGCTCAAAACTTAGAAAAGTCAAGAGAAACTAGTTTCCTCGACAGGGAGGACAGCTTTGGAGATCTGCGGGGTCGAAACGGCAACTAGACAGCGACAGCAATAGCAATCCCTGATACCTCGACCTTTCACTTTCCCCCCAAATCCACTTATTCCCATCCAGTGAGAAGCCGAACTACACGACAGGGTTAAGAAACCTCCCCAAACACAAGCTTTGCAGACACGGATCGGCGGTGAGCCGACACGGACTACAGTGAAACGAACACTACCGTGTTTCCCAGTCCTCTTCCAGGTTTAAAAAAAAAAAGTTCCGAGCCCCCGCTGCCTCTAGCAGGCCGATCTCGCGAGATTCCGGAAGCCGTCCAATGGCGGCCCGACCCCAACGAGAGTTGCGCCACGTCCCTCCCCCTCCCCCCGGAGAGGCCCAGAAACTTCCTGGTACAGAGCGGCAACTTGGGACCAAGGCTGAGGCCCTCGACCACCCGAGTGAGCTGGGGCAAAGCCTGCGGCCGTGACCCCCACCGGAGCCCCTCCCGTCCCCGTGACTCGGCGCTTCCAAGCCCGAGGAGAACACACAAGCTTCACGCCATGTTGCCTCAACGCTCACTAACTTTCCTCACCCGCCCTTCCACTCCCCCAAACACCGTCAGCTCCGACCAACTCATCTCTTCCGTAACCCGAGGGCCGAGCCCATCCCCCCAGTACCCCCCTGCATGCACGCTAGGATCCAGGACTCACCGCGCTGCCAAACTCCGAGAAAAACAGACTCCCAGAAGCTTGCGTTTGCTTATGCGCTGCCCACAACCCGCCGCTCGCTATTTATGCAACGTCTTGGAACACGTCAATCGGTGCGCAGGCGTGGTGTGCCTGCGCGGACAAAAGTAGTTCCGTCCCCGCCTCCTCAGGCATCCAGTGCGGTGAGATGACGGTCCCCACCCCTCCCGCCCCGGCGCCAGACAGGCGAGGGACGGTGGCCTCCCCACCCCACCCCCCGCCCTTCCTCGCCTCCTTAGATGGTGTTTGAAACTCGAAGGGCGGATGGATTCGGAACAGAGGGGCCGGCCCTATGCGGAAAACTCTGGAAGCTTCGCCGCTTCTGTGGAAAGGGGGCGAAGGGAAGGGGGAGAGGGCTCAGGGGGAGGCCGCTGATTGGCCAGGCGCAGCGGGGCGGGGCGATGTCCGGAGGCCTCCCTTGTTGCTGGGGCTCTCTAGAACTCGGTGGAAGGCGCTGACGTAATTCTGAGGTGGGGGGAGGGGAAAGCGCCCTGGTGCGCATGCTCAGATAGGAGTAGGGAGTGGGGGAGAAGAGATGCTTGTTGGAGGGGGGCAGGCGGGGCGGGGGTCGAAAAGAGGGGTTCTCGGAGCCTGGGAAAAGTGACCATTTTCGCAACCCCGCCCTTCCCAAGAGATCTCGAAGCCTTATCGGCCTCAGCGGGGACGCCCGGGCTGGTGGGGGCGGGGAGGTCTCGGGGCGTTACCTGTTTACCTGCTCCCCAGGGGCGTCCGCCACCCCCCCCCACCCCCACCGTAGTCACGCGTTTACTTCCCGATGTGTTTTGTGACTTTGGCCTGGATCCACGACCTCCCTTGCGCCCTGGGCTGGTAAACAGACCGGCCCCGACCTCTCCCTGCTAGTGGGGGAGGGGAGCGGGCCAGAGGCCTAGTCTGCCCCACGCCGAGCCCCAAGGGTCCGCCTAAAGCCACAATGGGGGCGGGGGGGGGGCGGCCCGAGACGGGCCGAGAATAGCGTGTAAGCCTTGGGAGCGCAGGCACTGTGGTCATCTCTGTCCTTTTAACCCCTAGTGCTTTGCATGGTACCCAGTATATGTAGTGGGCGTTTAATGTGTGAGTCGGTCTTTGCATTTATTGCAGGCCTACTGTGTGCCAGAGTTAAACGCTGGGGATGTGAAGAAACACCAACAAAGAAAAAGAAAACTCAGACCAGTCCCTGATCTCTGGGAGTGGCCGGTCAACACGTAACAAGCATACAGGATAAATTGGGGATCATTTCAGAGGGAAGGACAGGAAGGCACCAAGGTTAAGGCTTGGGATTGGGGGGAAAGCAGTGAAGGAGAGGAAGCCTCGTAGATGAGAGGTTTCAAGGAAGCCCCAAAAGGTTTCAAGTGCTCAGCTGTAAACAGTAAAAACCTTTGCTGTTATTTTTTAACCTGTTTCTGCAGCATTTGTTTGGTGATTTTTAAAAGTTTCAAGCAAATGGCCTTGTGATAAGGAGCCCTTGAGTCAGTAACTAAAGGACAAAGAGATTGGCACATCCTGGGGGATTTTGGGGGGGGGATTTTATAGGATAATCTTATGTAGTTTATAGGTTTACAGGAAAACAGGCTCAGTAACTTATCCAAGGTCAAAATGATCTGTATCAGAAATGGGACTTTGAGCTTTTCCTTGTTAGCTCATGTACTCTCCAAAGTGACCTCCCTATATATCAGCGGAATGCTGATGTAATTTTTCTAGAGGAAAACAGAAAGGAGTGGTGGCCTCGGGGCAGAGAAAGGGGAAAGCAAAGCCATTACTTAGGGTTGGTGGCCAGATTAGGGGTTCTCTACCCTAAGATTATCCCAACTAATTTAACCTTTCTGGATCCTGTCTCTATCAGAGATCTGGTCTGGGCCTTTGCCCTGGCAACAGTTACCTAGAAACTATAGAAACATCCTATTACAGGTTCCCGGAACACACACTAAGAAACGTGCTTATTATATTAGTTGCTAGTTGGGTTGGGACTCAACATTCATGGCTCCTAGGAGAGATGCTGTCTCAGGATGAGTAAGCAGGAATGCTTTCGTTGGGGGAGGAGGGAATTTAAGGTTTTACAGGCATCAGTTTATGTTTCTACCACTTCTGCTCAACAGAGATCCTCCTCTCCCCAACTGCTACATATTTGTACTGAATTTATTTCCTTGTTGTTCTATCTTTCTAACATTTCCATGAACTATATGTCTTAGACATAAAAAGAAGGAAAAGGATAGGGTACTATATAGGGTTATGTTAGACCTGAAAGGAGCCTTGGGTATTAGAAACAGCATATGAAAGGATGCAAAAAAAAAAAATGGAGTTTTAAATCCTGTTAAATGTGTGTCTATGAGTGACTTCAGAATCCCCTTGTAAACCTATTTTTTAAAAAAAGTTTAAATCACAATTTAGTGTTCTTTTATTATTAAATTCTTAATTATAATTAAAATTTTTAATTATTAAATTCTCCTGTTATCTTTTATTTTTTGTTACCAAGTTTAATCTCATCTAATTCATTTGTGACACGTTTTGAAATTGGTTTTCTGTGCTCAGAAAGGAGTCGGCAACTGTACGTGAAGTTATAATGAAGCAGATTCTTTATATTTATCTTTCAAACATGTCATTTCTGTGGAATGGTGGGGGAGTGCAAAGAATTGAACAAGTATACATATTTTCACGTGGACTTAAATTAGCGTTGTGAAGAGAGGAGCATAAAACATGACAGGCATAGCTAACGGTGATTTAGGCAATCTGGGGAAGAGGAGTTCACTATTCAACTCTGAGTCTATTTACTTGACATTTGTCATTGGAGTGCTCTCCCTTCTCACCTCTACCTCCTGCCTTCCCTGGCTTCCTTTAAACCTCTTTTTCAAGAAGCCTTTCCCAGCCCCTCTTAATTTTAGTACCTTCTCTATCTTATTTCTTGTTTATCCTGAATTTACTGGTTTGTACATATTTGCCTGTTGTCTTCTGCATTAGTTTGTGAGCAAGATTGTCTTTTGGCTCTTTTTGTATCTCCAGCACCTAAGCTCAGTGCATGCAACCTAGTAGGTACTTAATAAATGTTGATTAATTTTTTTGTTCTTTGTATATTTGATGTTTGTGTTTGATTAAGTCCATAATAAAAAGAATATATAAATAAAGGATGGGGTAACAGCCTTACAAATGAAAGAAACAATAGTATTTATTTCTCTTCTTGCATGTACTAAAAGGGAAAGAAAAAAAAGATGCTCAGTTCTCTCTTCTGAGGGTGTTATTGAATGGAAAGAGCTGCCTGCTAAGAGATTATTGTTCAGCTAAAGTATTTGGGTCAGCCAAAGAAGATAAAAGTTGTGACTTGTCTCATTGTGGTTTAACTTAAGGCCCTTTGGCAAGCACATATAGTTAGTTTCATATTGAATAATTTGACCTTCTGGAAATTATGGTTACAATGAAAACTAGTGGTTACCAAGAAACTAATGGGAGGTGAGGGGGTGGGCAGAGAAGGGAAGGGGAGAAGAATCTAATGCAAAAATCTAAGTCGTTCTACAGATTTTAGATTTAAAGTTCAGGAGCTGACCTAGAATCCTAAAATCTGCAATTGGAAGTAAGTTTAGATTCATTTAGTCCAATTTGCCACACTCCTGGCAGGAATTCTCTCTAAATCATGCCTCATAGGTATAGTCTTTGCATGCGTAGAATGATAAGGAACTCAGTAACCAGGGGGCCCATTCCATTGTAGAACAGCTCCACTAGGAAACTAAAATGTGCCTCCCTGTAACTTCGCCTATGGAATACGTGTAATTCCTGTTCATTTATAGAATTTAAACTTTTCTAGTAGGCAGTTTTTAAAAGAATGAGTATGTTTCTGGATGAATATACAGTGTATGCAGACATAAGCTTGATAGCTAGATTCCTGTAAGTGGATATGACTAAATCATTATAAGCTTAAGTGACATACACAAATGAGCTAATACCTAGATTAGGCCCAACAATAGAATTTTACAGATGTCTTGGCTGTTAATTAACAAAGTTTACATGGTTTTTTTAAAAAAATCGTGTTGCTTGATTTAACATTCATGTCTGAACACGTTTCTCCAGCCACTGAGTCATGCACACTGAGTGATGGGGAGTGGCTCAGATCCAAAGCCCATGACTGGTGATTTCACAAGTGATTCTAGCATTTGCCAGGAACTTCAAGTCAAGTTAGAACACAGCTTCCTTGAATGATGTTTCCCAAAACTAGGTCATCTAGTAATGCGACATAGAAAACTACTTTCCAAAAGGAGGACGTTATGTGAGTCTACATGATTATGTGGTGAAACATGAGGCACTTTTGTAGGGTAGGACAGGTGATTGATTTATGCCAATTCAGCCATAAGTGAAAGTCTTAGCAGCAAAATGTTTTTTATAGGACCTTGTAAATGTGACTTTGTTACCACTCATGATTTTTAAAAATAAAAAAGGTACAGGTATAGTTTTATCTTTGGCTCAGTTCAAAGAATTACCTTGTGACAACTTCAAGAAAGCCCACAGCAAAAGAAAGGACATTCCTCTACACTGCTAATGTATTTCCTTAGGCAAAGCCTTTAAAAATAGTGTAATGATAATTGTAACTTTTATGTAGCCTTTAGAATTTACAAAATGCTTGTTAAAGTGCTTTACATATATCATCCCATTTAATTCTCACTATACCCCAAGTAAAGTAGGTAGACTAGGGTTTATTATCTCTATTTTACTAAGGCTGAAACTGAAACTCAAAAGAAGTTAGGGACTTTTGACATAGCTAGGCCTCAAGATTTGCCCAGCCAAGCCTCAGTCTTGGATCCTTCCCACCATTCCTTGCCTTTGTGCCTACATATGTGCTGCTGAACAAAGGTGGAGAAAAATCACACAACTGTATTGACTGAGTCCACTACAAATTTATGTTAACTTCAACTGGGCCTTTACAGCGGCCAGGCAATCCTATATCTCCTTTATCAGCTCTCTCTCCTCTCCACAGTGACTCTCCCAAAATCTTCCAGAACTCCCCTTCTTCCCTTTCTCTCAGCTGAGATCCTTGCCTTGTATTTTACAGGAAAAATTTAGGTCATTCTCTGTGAATTTCTTCTTCTCT